GAGTAAGGACGGCAGTGGAGCGTGGTGTCAAGTCAGCCGGACACTGTCCTGGTCATGGGGAGCATGGAGAAGCCAGGAGTGAGAGATACACAATGGATTCTGTCAGTCCCCTCCAACAAGCCTAAAAAGGCAGTGAAGGAGGCGGCTGGGAGGGGCAGGCTGGCGGCAACACCGGCCAAGAGGCGGTTTGAGGTCCTTCCACAGCCGCTTCCTAGAAGCCTGGAGGGCCCAATTTGTACTGTGTCCTTCTGTCAAACACTTTATGACAAATCTTGTCGGGGGCGGGGGAAGGTCCGAGTCTGGTGTTTTATTGCCAGAATTCCTCATGGGGAAGGATGAGAGGCCAGGAAGGGGAATTGAAGGATGGGAAGGAGGCTGTTCCCTCTGTGTCCCTGAGTCCCGTCCTAACTCCAGCGCCTGCCTCCAGGGGACTCTGAGCATGTTGAGCATGTGATCAGCACATTGGACGGGGGTCTGGAGGCCTCAGGGTCCTGTCTTGAGTCAAACTAACTGAGCAGCTGAGGGGTTCGGCTCACCTGTCCACAATCCTCCCAACCAGATCTTTTAAACTTCAGTGTGCCTGAAGTTCTCCCAGAGAACTTGATTAAAGTGCAGGCTTCTAAGCTCCATCTGAGACTCTGGTTTCACAGACCTGAGTGACTCTGCTCAGGTCAGTTCCCCGTGGTGGTGCCTGATTGTTGGAGGTGCTCTGACTCGTCCTGGGAGCCCCACAGCTGCCTGGGGGGACACGCTCTCTAGCAGTTTACAGGTCCCCAGCATTCTCCTCCTTCCGCCCCGAGGCTTCTCCTACAGACGCCTGGGAGCAGCTGCTCCTGGCACCTCCTTGCTGGCGGGTGCTGGGCTTCCTGGTGCCTCCTTGCTGGCGGGTGCTGGGCTTCCTGGTGCCTCCTTGCTGGCGGGTGCTGGCTTCCTGGCATTCTGTTAACGTGCTCTTTTCTGTTTTTAAACTGCAGAGTCCGTCATCCCAAGTAGTGGAACATTTCACGTGAAGCTCCCTAAGAAGCACAGCGTGGAACTCGGAATAACCATAAGTTGTAAGTAGAAGCTATTTCTTTTAAAATACAGAATTTGAAAACGACATTAGAGAATTGGGTCACTGAATGGTGCACAGGTGTGGCAAATGCTTCAAGCATATTTGCAAAGTTCCTACATCGTGATCCAAAAGTGGGGATCCAGTCACACCGTCTGCTTGCCAGCCCTGGGGTCAGGCAAGTTGCCCACACTGTCCTGGTCTTACTTCTTCATCTGTAAAATGGAAAAATGATATTACAAAACATAGGGTCTTAAGTATTAGATAAAACAACATGGATATACTTAGTATAGTGCCTGGCAATAAGTTAAGTACTAAATAAATACGTATCTTGTGCCTTTCATGAATAATTAGATGAGCAGATAAATTAATCCAGGTTCTCTACATTATAGTATATTGTGGATTAGGTTTTCGCAACAATCTACGTAACTAGCAAAAATCACATTTAGGTTTTTTTGTTATTTTTTTTTTTGAGACAGTTTTATTCTGTCACCCTGGGTATAGTGCTGTGGCATCGTAGCTCACAGCAACCTCAAACTCTTAGGCTCCAACGATCTTTCTGGCTTAGCCTCTCAAGTAGCTGGGACTACAGGTGCCCGCCACAATGCTCAGCTGATTTTGTTTTCCTATTTTTAGTAGAGATGTGGTCTTGCTCTTGCTCAGGCTGGTCTCCAACTCCTGACTCAAGGGATCCTCCTACCTCGGCCTCCCAGTGGGAAGGATTACAGGTGTGAGCCACCACGCCTGGCCCACATGTGCTTACTTTTAAGACTATCTTCCCATCTGTCAACATGTGTCTATAATCCTTTTCACAACACTGCAGCGTCTCCTGATTTAGTAAATTCCTGAATTCCTCCCCAGTGCAGGGTATCTGGGTAACAAACCCCCCCCCGAAAAAAAGAAAAAAACAGGGTCCATGAATGTGCTTAATTCCTGCCTTGCCTTAGACTCTGGTTCTATAACTGTTGTGGCTCCAGTGGAGCTTTGCATGATGGAAATTGAGGGAGTTTCTGTGCTTCTGATATCCGTAGACTAAGTCCATGCATAGATGCCTCAGGAAAAGGAAGCAGAAGGTTAACCCTTAAAGACCAAAGGGAACAAAGGCAGTGACAGTGCCCGAGAGGTGCCTCCTCCAGAGAAGAGTGATGTGGCGACGTGAATGTGTCCCCCGCACTGTCAGACAACATTCCTGAGGCAAAAATAAGGGAAAAGTTCTCAGTTGGGTAATAAGAAATGGGGCTGTCCAATTCACCTTAAATATCAATATAAATTTAATACTGAGAAGTGAAATTTTATTTATAGCCAATAAGCCACACAAATCTCCTGCACTACTAAGAAAATTGGGGCTGTGACTTGGACTCCAGAAAGAAGTCACACGAGTGGCAGAAAGCCTGTGTCCCTCGCTCCCCAGGGCGGCCCAGCAGGGTGTAGGAGGCACTGGCCTATTCCAGCTGCTGTTAAAGGACTCACAGCCTCTCAGTCCATTCTCTGTGGAGCAGGAGTGTGTCATTATTCTGTCAATAGTTACGGCTGCAGAAATTAAGGGACAGCACATTAGAACTTAAATCCCCAAAAACATGGGGCTTGAGGTATCTTCTGTAACCTCCATGTAACTGTGGGCTGTTCCCACTTATTCTGTTTATTGGAACCCACTCCTTCAGGATTGGCTGTGACAGGGTTGGCTCTGGTGCCGTGCAGCACCCAGCCTGCTTGCTGCAGGGACCTGCATTCTTCTCCCTTCTTTCTCTCCTGTGTCCACTATATCCTGAGCTGTGCTGGGATTTGGGATGCACATCTGTCCTCAGAGGCACCCCTGTCCTGTCCTGTCCTCAGAGGCACCCCTGTCCTGTCCTGTCCTCAGAGGCACTCCTGTCCTGTCCTGTCCTCAGAGGCACCCCTGTCCTGTCCTGTCCTG